CTGGAGGCATAGTTATACTACTTTTTTAGCTCACTGGTATTTGCATCCCGTGCCGCCACCGCGTCAGCCCAGGGTCGGTAATCCTCTTGCTTCCTGCAAGCTTTTCTAGAAGAAGAGCCGAACCAAGGCCGAAATCTGCCACCGACGGGGACCACAGAGGACAGAACGAAAAGTTCCATCCCCTGCAGCACCACATCAGCAACAGAGGCAGCAGCGGCGTTGGGATCATCCTGCGAGAAGCAAACTCGTCTCCAAGGGTAGGATGCAAAGAAGGATCTCATCCCATCCCAATCTGCTGACCTGTAGCGCCACACGCGGCGTGCACGCACAAGGCTGCACTCCAGACGAATCAATGGTCTAATGAGCCAATATAAGCATCGATTTAAATGCGTGTTAAATATTCGAAACCATTATCCCTAAAAGGCAACGCACTCGTAACTTCTTTGGTGTTGCGGGTGTCCATGGGCGACGCTGATTGCTTACCCTCAGGTAGTCAGTCTATTCGATTGCAGACCTATAAAATAAATAAATGAATTATAAGTTCTCAGTCATCGACTAATAATAGTTACTAACAATTGGTGAAAAGGAGGTCATTGCGACGATAAGCAAGTATTTATTTTTAATATTGTTAGTTCTGGGTCCGTACAATTTGCTTTGGCATTGTATTTCAATAATGCGTGACGTTTTATACTAACATGGGACTACATTCATTATTATAATAAAGAGGAATAATCTGTGTGTTTAGATTGAGTAGGATCTAAAACTACTGTAAATAGATTGATTTGACAAATTCTTTTACTTTTAGAAAGCTACACCATCCTCGTTGAACATAAGCTAAATACTAAACGGGTGAAACCTTGGAGTAGGTACAGCTAGTAGATTATAAATGATTTCTTTTTTTTACTATGCCAATATGCTATCATTAGTTTAACTTGGTAAGGTTTCTGGTAGGAATTTACATACCTACGTAGGTACCTATTGTTTTTTAAGTTTTCTATTTCTATGTTACATATGTATTAGTTTATGATTTCATGTTATAATATATTTATGTATTGTATTCTCTATGGACCTCAGATGCCTGACTTAAAAAGATAAAAATTTTTAAAAGCAACTTCAATGCGCATTGAAGACCACGAGGGATTAGTGCAGTTACGTTATATTATATACTTACATTATTGAGCCAAATATCTGCAGACAAGGTATACAAATTTGGTTCTTGGCGTCAAACCATAAAAGTCACGTTGCGTGCATTTTGATCTTACACTGTGCTAACCAAAGTTTATTCATCTACTTATCATCAAACCATTAAACATCAAGAGTGATTGGATTAAAGTCTAAGTCGGTTAGAACATAGTCATAAGACTGCATCACAGAAAACCGACGTGAAAAACCCTTGTGTTTTGCTGTGTTATTGGGATTGCCGGATTCCTTACCCCTCCAGTCTCTAGGCCTCCCCTTAATCCTTAAATCCCTGACGTTGCGAGTGAATTGCTTACCATCAGGTAATCCGTTGCACGTTTTTCGACTTACAACCGGTTTCCGAAAGGCCGATCAATGTTAAAATCAATTTAATGATTGGTTGAATGAATTATCAACAACCAATCTGATGACTTGACAAGAGATTTAACAGGAGATTAGTTAATTTTAGCGTTGACAAGCATTTCAGAAACCGGGTGTTAGTTTAAAAGAAAACAGGTCCAGAAAGAAAAGAAAACAACAAAATAAGTGTACAATTGTTTATTTCCATAGTAATAGTTCATATTCATAATTGTTATTTTGATAAATTATTTAGATGTGTACCTATGGCAGTGTTTCGTGGTAACCTTTACATCCTTAAATACTTATTACAAATCTACGTATCTATTACATACGTTACAATATTTTAATCAACTCGTCACAGAACAGAAATTGCACAAAACGGAAGACAATTTTACAAAAAACATATAATAAAAAAAAATGTACTTGATTTCTATAACATTAGTAATAAATATCATTATATTATTCTAATTTACCAAAATTTACACACCAATTTAATTTTCTATATACAATATTATATTTAAATATATATAAATTAGTATTGTACATGAATTGATAATTTCTTATTTATTGAGGTCTGATTTTTCAATGGTTAGATAAAAGTTACCTGGAGAATAATTATGATGCTGTCGCGTCAGAATGTTTGTATAAGACAGTGACAGCAACAATTTTATTCATCAGATAACATTTATCTGACTTGTAAAATCTGCCGTAACTAGAATAAAAAGTATATAATTTAACTAAACTGCGACGTATTTTGGTGACAAAACACAAGTAAATTGAAACTAACGACTTACGTGTATTAATTGAGAAAAGCTCGACTAGTTTCAAGTCATACCGGAACTCTTATTCATAAGCAGCGCTCGCGTCGCGGCGACGTCTCGCAACTAAACGTTCAAGTTAGAAAGTCGTTATTTTCATGTCTCACGCCAGTTACTTTAAAAAAATGATTTTTTAATTCTCTAAGTATTCTAAGGAACATAGAAAGTGGATATTTCTATCATAATATACAGATTTTTTCCTATTTTAAATGATAGTTTACTGTTTAAGTAACTTTTAATTAAGAACACATGCTTATAATTTTATCATTTTATTTAATTATCTAGTAAATAGTTCCCTAGACACTGTGAATCAGGCTTTCACTATTGTTTTCCATCTAATAAAAAATACATGTCTAATTTTTTCGGTCGGCGAACGAGCACACGGATTACCTGATGGTAAGCAATCAGTTACCTATCACCAACCCTATTACAAATTGAATAAGTGTGTTCTCCTTACTTTCACGGCACTACGGGGCATCATGGGTTAAATTTCTCCTAATTAAAAGTCCCTTAAAATGCATGTCTATGATGGAAGGGTCATGATTACAATACTTCAACGGACAACAACACTAATTAATTGACTGAAAAGAAATACAGATGGCGTTATTCAAAATTTCATTGTCGAGAAAGGGAGATTGGTTGAATGTTGTTTTTCTGGTATAGGTCCGCAATCGGCAATCCCAGTAAGCAATCGGTGCCGCCATGGATACCCGTAACATCGAGGTATGGCTTACTCCACACTAGAACGTCAACCAATCTTCCCTCTCCATTAATGACGAAAACATAACAAATTTTATTTTTTTACATAAATAATAAAAACATATAAATATAAAAATTATGTCAGTCGACTAGATTTACATAAAAGTTTTATAAAAAAAGAAATTAGCTAGTCACGTTTAAAAACATTGTACTTATGTTATTAAAACTATTAAATGCGCATTTAAAATATTAATTGTGAATTGTGTATAGTTTTCAGATTTCCAGTACATATAGGGCAAATTAATACAAATCAAATCAGTTGAATGACCTAGGCTTAATGTTTTTTTTAATCTGTGCTCCAGTTGTGGTATTGCTATCTTTATCCAACTAACATTATTAGACAGTGATAAAGTAATCTAGATTTAACGTAAAAAATTGCAGATTTGTAAAAAAACAAAATAAGGGAGATTTTTTTTCTCAAAAAAAAGCAATACCATTGTCATTTTCTAGCATCATATGTTAGAAAAGGATAGATATGAAGTTTATTATACTTCATAGGTATCTGGTAGGTTCCGACTAGTCAAATTCAATACTTTTATTAAGATGTCAAAAATGACTCTTTTCTATGACTTTTTAAACTCAAATAAATCATCTGAAAAAAAGCTAAAAAATTGTTTATCATCAAATGAAAGAATAAGTATGAATATATTTTAAAATTAATTGTTACAAATTGACAAGTCAAATAAATATTACATAAAATAATCTATATGGGTATTTTAAACGATACCTGTCCTTGTCACTTTCGATAAGTTGGAAAAGAAAAGCAATACTTTTAATTAGAAAATAACCACTGAATGCTAGAACGTAAAAACTATAATATAGCACTAATTAAATTGGAAACATACAACATTAATATATGAACTGAGATCACTAACATATCTATGTATACTTTCCTTACAATACATGCTATTTTATATATGTATTAATATTAATATATGTACAGATTTACAAAAAGAAGCCTCGATAAAGACAAAAGATTCATTCTTATAAATACACTTTTAGTATAAACTGTATTAGGAAGCCGTACTCGCGGTACATTTGCGCTTACACCCAAAACCTTAGCTTAACATTTTTTTTATGTAATAAGTCGGCAAACGATTACCTGATGGTAAGCAATCAACGTCGCCCATGGACACCCGCAACGGAGGAGTTACGAGTGCGTTGCCGACCTTTTAGGGATTAGGGATTTGGAGATTTAGGGATTGGGGAAGGGTCCGGGAAGGGGAAGGATTGGGCCTCCGGTAACCTCACTCACACGGCGAAACACAACGCTGTGGTTGTTTCAAGCCGGGACACCATCATATAATCATATCATACATCATCATATAACATCGGCCCTAATGGTAGTTTGATGGTCTTTGAGTGCAGTATTTTCCACCATGTTAAGTTTGTTTTAATAGTTAAGGCCTATTATAACCTATTTAAACAGAGAAGATGACAAAGAGGCTAAAATCCATATTTTTTAATGCTAGAGTTGATATCTGTATTATTTTTTTGAATATTGTATTACATTACAAAATTGAATCGACATGATTTTTTTGCGTTAGACATGGTAATGTAAGTGAAAATACTAAATCTAAAACTAAATAAACTAATCTCAGGATAGACATTTTAAGATAATTTATTACTTTTACTTGTGGTTTACTAGTGGAAATATTAAATTTTTTACCAAGTTATTTATTAAAACGACTCGAGATCGAGAGAAGCGTGGTGATTAATGCTCAAACCTTCTCCGTGTCAGAAGCAGTGGGCACTTATAGGCTGAGATGATGATGAGATCGAGAAAAATTTGGCACAGATACAGATTATATTAACTTATTTCTGTTGCTATGACAACGAACCCAGCAACAGTTAACAGTTAGTTAAAAATGTATTTATAAGAATGAATTAAATTTAAAAATATTCAATAAATATATAAAAAATGGCATTACAATGAGCGTAGAAGGTAAAAATTTAATAAAATTTTCTAAATAAGATACCTACGCTTGTCAGACTCATTTGAGCAAGTATTTTTAATGAAGAAAAACATTATACCAGTCTTGTTCGACATAAGGTTCAATTTTGTATAAAAAAGAGAGATTTTGTAAGTGTCTTAAAAATGTAATAATATGAATAAAGAATGGCTTTTTAGGACTTATTACAAAACAATTAAGACTAGGTCTATACCATTGAGACAGTTATTGTATTTTAAATACGGTAGTTTCCAACTAGTCAAATTGAATACTTTTATCCAAATGTCAAAACTCTACTTTTCTATGAAAAATTGAGTTATGACGTCATAGTATTTTCGCGTCAAATAGCTTACTTATTTTTTAATAAACAGCTAAAAATTATCTAAAACTTAATGTATCGATCGACCGATGAATAAAAGTACCTATAGTTATTTTTCAATATTTTTGCGGATTGAAACGTCGAATTAATTTATTTTTGACCTAGGAAACTACCCAATTAAAGTTTGGTTAGAATAGGATTCAAAATACTGACTCAATGTTTTAAACAGACACTAAAGATAATTCTTGTTTTGTAATAAGGGAGTAAAGGTTGTAATAATAAGGCCCATAAATTACGTGAGATGTTTTTTTTAAATTTTCTGGATGCTCCTTAATAACAAGTCATAATTTTGAACCGGTCACAGTTTTGCAAAGTTATTTGTTACTTGGGTAAGAAAGTGTTTACCATAGGCAATGGCACTTAGAAAATGGCAAAGAATAACTTTCAAAAATCAAACAAAAAAATCTACCATTAAAATTTCGTTTCTGGATTTACCAAAATTAATTCCCTTTGGCTTGCATGAGACAATTTTTTTTTTATAAAAACATGATCTAGTTGAAAACAATATGCCTAATACACTTCTATAGAATTTAATAAATAATACTAACAAGATCTATTGATTTCAGAAATTTTTCGAGACACGGTCAAATACAAAAAAATATATATACAAATTAATTCTAAAAGCTTGCATCACGGATTTGGTACTTGGTAGAAAAAATATCACAAAAAACTGCACGAAAAGAATTTGTTTATTTCATTTTTTCTGTTAATTTTATATAAAAAGAGATAAAAAGATAAAAGATAATTTATTTTGTAACGGATTATATAACGGAGATCTAACCTACAACATATTTCATATTGAGCGTAGAATCCAGCAGTTTTCAAGTTGTAACCGAAATGACTAACAGACTGTTGAAATTTAAATATTTATACGTATATGTCAACATAATTAAACAGAGAGTCAGAGGTCATAATCAAACAATAACTTACTTAATAATTCATATTAAACTGCCAATAAATTACATTAATTTCTTTCAATCATTTGAGCCAATATTTTTATATTTAATTAATATTATTTTAGGTTATATGAATAAATATTGTTTTATTTACATAATTTAGTACACATTTATAAATTCCCATTGAATAAAGAGATCGGGAGGATTTTTTCATTGATTCTCTATTTCAAAAAAAAAAAAAAAACTATTGTATGAACTTAAAGGACTATATTCGCCAGTGGCGCCATCTACGCAGTGCAAAAATAGTTCTGACAGTTATCTAGTTTAATTTGAGAACCCCGTATGCTGCGAGCTGCAACGTTTAATCCAAATTTCTTTATCCAATAGAAATTATATATAACATTAACCTTAATTGATATCGTTATCGTAAAGTTGGTAAATCAATATTTTACCTGGAACTTTGTCTTATGGAGTCATCATCAGCGAAACTGGCTCTGTTCCTTCGCTCGCATCGTTTCTGATGCTGTCTTATGAAAGCGCTTAATCTATTTAGGAGAAACTGTTTATCGTGGCCTTCTAGGACAAGTTGGTTCTTTAAAACTGTCACCATATGCCTGTTGGCTGCTGCAACCGCCCAATAATAGTATAGGAAGAATAGTAGGACCGCAAACGCTGGCACAGCGAATGCCGACGTTCCCAATCTGAATATGAACTCCCTTATAACAAAAGGAAAGCCTTCAAAAGTCTGCACAACGAATTCCCATACATTGTTATATCCTCTAAACGGGCCGCAGTTTACTGAAGGGAATATTTCTGCCACAGAATAAGCCACGGGGGCTATGGATACTATGAAACCTAGTAGCAACACAGACATGAATAGAGACTTGGATTTCGACGCCTTATAAACTACAGGGGAAGGCGTACAATTTGTGAGACAAGTGAATTTTTTGATGTAAAATATTAAGAAATAGAATATCGTCCCAATTATTGGTAGGAACGGACAGAAGAAGGAACCCATCCATATTATAGTTTGCGTGTAGACAATATCTAGGACGTGTTTCGGCAAATAAAAGTCTTGTTCGCCTAGCATTTTGAAACATCTACTGTTCGTGTGTCGCGCTAAGAATGCTCTGGGCAAGTTTATGAAGAAAGTCGTCACAAATTGTACTGCGAAATCAGTTAGGATCAACTTGTATAGCTGTTGGCCTACGTATGTCTCCCAACAGTCCAATTTCGACGAATCATTGTTATTATACGCACAAACAAACCCATTATCTCTGACATAAGTATACATTTGGCTCAAAAGAACAGCTAAAGATGAGAGTCTAAGTAAAACTGTTCGCAGTAACGTTATGATCAACACATAAGCTGGAGTGTAAGACTCGAATTGTATTAAATAACTGAATATTTCTGGCACTATTAAATTTAATACTACTATACATATAAAGGGTAAAAATTCTAACAACGTGTTCTCTAACTGGCCAAAGAATAATCCACCTTCTTTATAAAGCCTTAGAGTGAATTTTTCAGTGTGACTTTGGTTAAAATTTTCTATATGTAATTCATTCTGATTCTCGCTTATTTGAGACATTTCTTCGTTTAGTTTGTCAGTGGAATAGTTAAAAGTGAAGTATATAAGGACTCCTGAAGCTATGAGTATGGCGAAAACTAAAATATTGACTAACAAACGCTTGAAATATATTAATATTTGAGATTCCCTTGTCCTTAATTGTCTTTCTTCATTAAACTTTTCTTCCTCTAAGTATCCTTTCACTTCGTTATATATCCCTTTATGTTTGATTTTAGCTGACTTATCATTATGTATACAGAAATCCCAACCTCCAAATACTAAATTGCAATATTTATAAAACTGTCCTTCGTTCTCAACTAGGCGTTCTTTGAAACCTTTTGCCGCTGTTTTTACTATGGCTATTAAAGATAATAAAACCCACGAAATAGCCACAAGAATATAAGCCATAGGCATGTTGTAATAAAGCTTACTTTGGAACAAATTTGCTATGTAATATGAGTAAATTTGATCTGTGTAGACTCCATAGAAGAGTATAGTTCGTTCCATCCACCCAGTGCCTTGGATGACATCGAAAAAAACGTTGGAGTCAGTCAAATTCTTCGTCAAATAATAATTGGAACAACATATTGTGGAATTCGATTCAAAATCTTCACATCGATAGTTGATTTCGTTCAATAAAGTCTTTGGAAGGATCATGAAAAGTATTATTATTACTGATATGGCTAGATTTAGAAATAGCAGCCATCTTAGGAAGAGAAAGTAGGAGACTACGCCGGTCCCGAACTTGCCTTCAATCTCCCTCATGGGGGACTGCCAGAGTTCCAGCTTGCCGACTATTTCTGAGAACCGTATGCTGAATCGATGCCAGACTTTTCTTTGTCTCCATTGCAGCTGCTCGAAGCCTTGAAGGCGTAGTTTTGTGGCGTTCTGTAAACATTTTTATGAGAATTGTTATATTTTCTTTGCCTATATGGTAAGGGTTGGTAGCTATTCGTAGTATTATATGCTTAACACTGCTGTAGAAAAGAATACATTATTTATTTGCTTACAATGTATGTACCGTATACAATACGGTATTCGACAACTAGTTAAATTCAATACTTTTATTGAAATGTGAAAAACGAAACTTTTATATAAATTTGGTACGGAAAAACAGAAATGTCACGTCATCATATTTTTGGGTCAAACACCATAGGTAGGTACTTACTTTTAAATGTAACCAATAAAAATATAAAATTAATTATGTATATAGTCAAATCCATCAATGAAATCTTGAAGCAATTCATTTTTGACCGAGGAAAATAGCCAATTAAGGGTACAGTATTTTTTACATAAGTGTAGACTCTGCAATGTTTTAGTTACCTCTGCTCATCGATCACTAATAAAGAACTAGATACACAATCCCATACAAAAGTTCGCTTCAAAACTGTCGCCAACTGTATTTAGGTACTTATACTTGAAATAAACATGCATTAATGTAAATTAAACCTTAAATGCAACTCATAGAGTTATTTTTACAAAGTGATGTACAAAATCTTAATATTTTTTGCGACCGAAGCTCTTGACAAACATAAATCATAAGAAATTGAACCATATTCGCATGTTTTTAAGTCAAATTTACAAAGTGTCAAAAATAAGCAATAAAATTTAACGACTTCGGCTCACCGCTAGGACAAAGAATGATTGAAGTCGAAATGTGTCGTAAGAAATATATTTCTTTCGTATTTTATAATTTATCAAAAAAAGAAAATACGCAAATTAAAACGCATTGCTTATAGTATTCTTTTCTATAGGTTTGTTCATTTATTTACCAATGAAACTAATGCATATAGTTATAATTTTTTATTATTATTTTCGTCCTCCTTAATACTTTCTATTCGAAGTGAAATAAAAAAGATGTAAAATAATAAAAAGAAGTATCAGTACTTATCTAAAGTAAGTACTGAAAATGTTGGCGTTATTGTTGTCAATTTTTCATATCGCACGGGTTTTGATGAAAGCTAAAAAAAAAATTCTTTACTGCAGTTAAAATTAAATCTTTTATATCTGCCTATTCCATATTTTAATAAACACAGTAAAGAAGTATAATATCAAATAAAAATTATTTTTAAATAAAAAAAAACAATAAATATAATTAGAAACAATAGCGTCTCCACTAAACGGAACAGAATCAATCCACGTAAACCGAACAACTTAAGTGGTCATGCTAGAGAATGATTTTACGTTTAGTATAAGTGTCTTTATAAACTATGTGCATTATAACCCCGGTTTTTGAATACGATTTCATTTGGAAAAAGTTTTAGAGTTGATTTCTTAATAAAATATCAATATTTAAAATAGAATGATGACAATTATATAATGATAATATTATTACTTAACGAAAATATGAAATTCCATCCTTTTTTGCGTCTTAGATGTGTGTTTTTTGCAGTTTTTAAACGAGCACTGAGGCGTGTTTACCGTCGGAGCATTCGAGTGGTACTAAACTAAAACTACACCGCGATGTTGAGTTTGGTGGACTTTCAGTTAGGACATTTTTTTGTCACTGATTGTGTATCTAGTTCTTTATTAGTGATCGATGCCTCTGCTACTTAAAGAATATTAAAAATTAGTTAGGACTTAATATGTGGCCACAAACTATATGTCAATAATCTATTTTTTAACCTTTGACTGCCAACAGAAAACTTTTAAAGACAAATCCTCCGCTACCCTAAGTCAGCGGTGACCTTCATGGCTATTAGCGTGTAAAAGCATATATGCAAACCAAATCAAATTTATTCGCAATCAAATTTATGCGTGTATGTGATGTAAGTTCTATTGCGAGGATACCCATCAACTTACGAACCAAAAAATTTCAACTTAGGGCTCCGGCTTCACTCGAAACTGGTCGAGCATTCTCGTAATAAATTTTTAAGTCGATTAATACAAATTTTTATTATATTATATGTCTTACATACCTGTAACCTAGCTTTCAGCTCTCGTTTCTGGTTCATCGGTACCGGCATGGCCTTGATCTGCATGATCTCCTCCCATGTTCGTTCCTCATTCGATAGGTTCTCTATAATCAATAATAAATACTAATCACTACATTGTATATAACAGTCGCTTTCTCTGTCCCTATATCCCTATGTGTGCTTAAATCTTTAAAACTACGCAACGGATATTGATGCAGTTTTTTGCAAAGATAGAGTGATTGAAGAGGAAGGTTTATAATCTTTGAAACCACTGGTCGGATTCCCAAAATTCTTTCACTTATTGATGGCTACAATGTTCCTGAGTGCTGAAGGTAATAAAACATCACGCTACGTGAGTGAAATCGCGCGGGAGTAGCTAGTGTATAATAACATCCTTTAACTAGTAAATAAATTAAGTAAGTATCTTTTATTAACCGACTTCCAAAAAAAGGAGGAGGTTCTCAATTCGACCGTATATATGCTTTTTTTTATGTTTGTTCGCCGATATCTCCGTTATTTATGAACCGATTTTGATAATTATTTTTTTATTGGAATGGAGATAGTTCCAGAATGGTCCCATAAAAAGTAAAACTAGGATCTGATGATGGAAGACCAGAGAAATCGAGGGGAACTTTCAAAAATTGTAGGGGCGAGTGGTGCTTTTGCATATGATTTCAGTAGGCTTTTGACAATTTTACAACTTGCCGATGTTCGAACCCGACCTGATGATGGAGCCGGAAGACAGTCGAGGGATCTCCTTGACTATTTGGAGAAGTTGCCTTGTGTTTGGGCTTGAATGATTCGTATTGGTGAGTACTTTGCACCAAAGTTGGTCGTCACTGTCATTAAGGGTCTGATGATGAGAACGATGGACAGCTCAGGGAACTCCTGAACGGTTTACAGTAACTACCTCGTGTTTCGACTTCGTTCATTTATATCGATGAAAACTTTGCACCTTTATGGATTACAATGAAGTTATGCAGTAAATTGTGATGATGGATCCGGAAGGCAGTCGAGGGATCTCCTTGATTATTTGGAGTAGAAGCCTTGTGTTTAGGCTTGAATGATTCGTATTGGTGAGCACTTTGCACCAAGATTGGTCGTGACTGTCATTAAGGGTCTGATTATGAGAACGATGGACAGCTCAGGGAACTCCTGAACGGTTTACCGTAACTACCTCGTGTTTGGACTTAATTCATTTATATCGATGAAAACTTTCCACCTTTATGGATTACAATGAAGTTACGCAGTAAATTGTGATGATGGAGCCGGAAGACCGTCGTGGGATCTCGTTGACTATTTGGAGTAATAATAATGTGTTTGGACTTCATTCATTTATATTGTTGAGAACTTTGCACCTATATAGATTATGTACAATGAAGGCCTGCAGTATATATATATGGAGGTCATTGACATTTGAGGGAATTTCTCAACGATTTACGGCACTGAAAGCTGACTAACTCAGGACTGCCATTACCGTGATTTTCGGTCTCAAGTAGCCGTCGTCTTCTCTTTTGAGAAGCATCCTACTTTTCTTTGCCTATCACTTAAAATGGTGAAATAAAATAATTTTTAACAAAAAAAAACCGACTTGAAAACGTAAACTAAAAAGCAAAAAATAAATTTACTTTGTTTAAAATAATACATATTTTCATTTAGTTAAATATAAAATATTATTTAATAACTAAAATTTTATAATTTTGAAGTCGGTGCCAAGTAAATACTACATACCAAACAATAAGAGTATTAGAAAAGTATATTGAATACTACTAATCATCAAACTAGCAAGAGGTATGTAGGTAATATCTTTACACTATTATTCTTTTACTTGGCACCGACTTTAAGATTATAAAATAGTTATTAAATATTATTTTACATTTAACTAAATGAAAATATGTATTATTTTAAACAAAGTAAATTTATTTTTTGCTTTTTAGTTTACGTTTTGAAGTCGGTTTTTTTAGTTTACATATGGATTTTTTTTTGTCAGGAGAAAATTATCAAATGTGTTCCCACACTCCCGCCCAGGGTGAGGCGGGAATGTCAGACTCTCACTGACTAAAAACCATACCGTCTCACTCCTGCTCGAGGCCGACACCATGGTACCTACATTTTTGCGCGAGCTCGGGCCGTTGATAAATATCATACAATACATAAAATAACACTAATGAGAGAGATCGGTCAACAAATCGCTCGACGCGCCAGCGCGCCGTGATTGGTCCGCGGCATCTTTTGACACACCGACCGCCCGCACGCAGGACATCGGCTCGCGTGGCGACAGTTACCTTCGGGACGTCAAATAGTTATTGCGTGTGCTATTATAATTATTCAATGTATTACGTCCTTTGAATGTCTTTGTTAAATAAATATAGCGAACAATAAATTTTTGTCTTTTACTATATAAGAATGAAGGATAGGTTATTATATACAGGGTGTAAAAAGACACTTAACGAAGCCGAAAGCCACGTATTCTACCCATTATTTGGATAATTTTTTTCTTTAAGTCCATAGCTGGGACTCCACTGGTTCTCGAGATATTGAAGGTCAAAGATGCATTTTTTTTTTTGCGCAATCGAATTCTATATTTTATTACAAAACTTTTTTCCAAACAAACATTACCTGAATTTTCGTGCATCTCAGTAGGATTTTTATTTTACAGAATTGTTTTGTTGTTGCGAAGTAAAACGTCGACCTACGTACTTATCACAGCGTTTTCATGCAAAGCTGTGAACCTACGCACACAATGACACGAAGCCCGTTTGCTTTACATTGCGCGCAATAAAATTACTATTTTTTTTGATACCTAAAAATAAAAGTCGTTTCCCAGTGATAATTTTAGCGTAAAGCTATTAGTTAGAACTGCAGTATGCGTAGTTAACGGCTTCGTTAAGTGTCTTTTTACACCCTGTATACATAACGTTGTGTTAATTTTTTACCATTTTCCTTAACGTTTTGTTTCCAATTATATCGCCTCATCTTGATCGGAAGTTTATCAATAAATACATCCACAATATTGTTTACAATATGGTGAAATGTCAGAGCGAAACTATTCGAGATGGCTTCACTTTAATCATTTTAAACACACTGTTGTTTATGAAAAACTATTCGGTAGTTAGTAGTTTCATTAATGAAAAATAAATACTTTAAACTTTTTAGAATTATATAAACAAACACTTAATTTTAACTTTCGCGTGACACTTTTTTTTTGATTACCCATTTATTGATTTTTATTTTCTTAGAGGGGTCTTAGCGCTGCTATAGCAGCGTGCCCGGCCCTCGGATTCAGCTCTAACACTGCCTACTCCAAAGACACCGATGCGACATGAACGCCAAAAAAAATCACGATCACTATCCGATTTTTCGACTAAGGTCTGATTTTTCAATAATCACAAAAATGTTATCTGAAGAATAAAACTGTTGCTGTCACTGTCTTATACAAACATTCTGACGCGACAGCATCATAATTATTCTCCAGGTAACTTTTATCTAACCATTGAAAAATCAGCCCTAAATCGTCTCCTGGTCTATTCTCAACTAAGTTATGCACCACCAAATTCCACTGACTTTGAGTATTTTTATATGAAGATGTCATTTGCCTTTTAGTCTCGATCACTACTAAATACCTCCTTTGCGCAAGAGGGGATAATCTTAACCTCCACACTTGATAGAAATGGCTTCAGGTTTATCTGAGAACTACTGACTAGCCCTTTCAACGTACAAACAGGAATTTCCCGTCCACTACAAGCCCGTGCGAATGACCACTGTTTTGTAGTGTTTTCGCGATAGAAACTTCACGGCGTTTAGCTACTGGTTGATTAAGTTGGAGCTGGCCAATCAGAGCGCCGAACGTCATTAACGTGTTACTACCGATTGAATTGAATCGAACACAAGTATTGATGTACTCAGTAAAAAACCCTGACCCATTCATAATAGGGTGTTAATTTGCTGGAGCTCATTATTCAGAAGTGAAGCTGTTAATTGTGTGCCAATTAGGTTATTGGTAGACTGTTTTTATTTAGTACTAGCGGTCCGTCCCTCCAATCAACCACGCTAATAACAAAACGGTCGCTAATTTCCAATAACAAAAAGAATTAAATGTAATAGATAGAATAGAAAATCAACAATTAGAGCGAGACAGCCACAGCGTTTTGTTTCGCGGTGTGAGTGAGGTTACTGGAGGTACCGGTTCCCTCTCCCTCTTCCCATCCCTTCTTTCTTTTCATCTTAAATGAATTCAAAAGACGAAACAAAATGCAAGCGATTTTTTTGCTTGTTTTTAAAGGTCTTGGTATCACTCCGGTCGAGCCGGCTCATTCCGGAGATTCTCCCACACATAAGTAAGTGAGCGGTAGTTTTATAAGTTCTTTACTTTGTTATCTTAAACGGCTTACCCTCGAGTAACTGTTTGGCGAGATCATTTGATTCACAATTCGTCGTAAGGAAAACGATGATGAATATGAGCCCCTAACGTGGCTCGAAACTGATCGAGTTACGTCGTCAAACAGTTACAAGTATAACCTATTAAACATAATCAAACTAATTAAGGGCTGATTTTTTAATGGTTAGATAAAAGTTACCTGGGGAATAATTATGATGCTGTCGCGTCAGAATATTTGTATAAGACAGTGACAGCAACAATATTATTCTTCAGATAACATTTATCTGTTTATTGAAAAATCAGTTCTAAATCAATTAAAGTTATGTTCAAAACAAAAAGGCAACAATTAATTACCTGATAAATCCGGTAGCATGGACAAGTGGATGTCTCGGCTCTGAGTGGTCCGCGCGTAAGTGGACTGGCGGCGTTCATTCTGCGAACGGGCTCGTTTCACGGTAGTAGCTAGAACAAAATGATTCATCGTCAATTAAAGTTAAATGCTTTGGAGCTGGACACTGTTATTATTACCGCTGATTTAGATAAAGAAGTGGTTTTTTATGTAATAGATCGGTAAACGAGCAGACGGATTACCTGATAGTAAGCAATCAGCGCCGCCCATGGACACCCGCAACGGAGGAGTTACGAGTGTGTTACCGACCTCTTAGGTAATAGGGGATTGGGGAGGGATCGGGGGAGGGGAAGGATTGGGCCTCCGGTAACCTCACTCACACGGCGAAACAAAACGCTGTGGTTGTTTCACGCTGGTCTTCTGTGAGGTCGTGGTATCACTCCGGTCGAGCCGACCCATTCGTGCCGAAGCATGGCTCTCCCACACTTGGTTTTGAAGGATTATGTTTTAATAAAAAAAGAAAGATAAATAAAGGTATATGTTTTATGTGGTAGGTCGGCAATTGAGTATCCGGATTACCTTATGGTAAGAAATCGGCTCCGTCCATACACGCAATAGCAGAGGATTTACGAGTGCGTTACCCTTTTTGGCGTTGCCGTGTTTTTTATCTATTTTGTAGTAGTTTATTTTTAAATTGCGAATGTCTTAAATCCATTTTTTTGGTATTAGTTTATTAATTTTACATTACATTATCAAAGTCTGCAGGTGGGCACCTGCTGAGCAAATGCCTCTTTTCACACCGAGGAGGTTTGAGCCATAGTCACCATACTTGCTCAAGGCGGACTGGCGATTTCAAACTTATAATTACAAATTATAAGTCCAGGATCTGCACGATGTTTTCCTTCACCGTTTGTCTAAATAAACTTAGAAATTATTAACTCTGAAAAAGACACATTGGCGCTTGCCAGGTCTCAAACCACAGGTTTATGCATGAAAAGCGGGCCCCTTAACCCTCGGGCCAGCACGACGTTCTTGTAAAATTACAATATAGTAAAAAACTTTTATCATAATTAACGAAAAAGGATTGCTAAAGTGGAAACTAACGTAGGTAAAGTACATCTTTACTTAGCCCTTCAGAGCGTAACAACAGACAACATTAAATATGCATTAATGACGTTGTATATAAATATTGTATTATTTAGTTATATTTACTTAATATAAGCACAAATCATTGTTATGGTTTATCTGACTAACAATATGTCTCTATGTACCTATTTGTGTTACAACTCTTAAAATGAAACACAACTCTTTGGTTATTTCACGGCGGTCTTCTGTGAGGCCGTTGTATCACTCCGGTCGAGCCGACCCATTCGTGCCGAAGCTTGGCTCTGCCACTCTTAACTTAATTTTTAGACAACTTTCAGATAAAAAGAGATGTCATAATAAGTGAAAGAATAAGGCTATCCTGTCACAGCGGGGATTATGAAAGACGCTAGTCTCTCTAGGCTAAGGCTGGGTCGTAAGCGGTGTGGCAACATGTTAGCTCCGGGAAGGATCTATAAGAGGACCCGGTGCCTTTTATAGGTGTAGACGGTAGCTACCAGGGTGGTTTTAGTAAGGTAAAAATACTACTACCCGTAGAACTTCGTCCTAAAAGTCAAAGCGATCTTTTCTTTCTTTCTTTTTTTTAAAGAACGGTTTAGATTACAAACATACAATTTTAAAATACACATCAAATCTAGACCCGGAACAACATTTTTTGAATTACACAAACAGTTGTTCGTGGGATCGAACCCGCCGTGACACATTGCGCGGCAGCTATTTGCCCAGCCACCGCGCCAACCGTGCAGTCGAGCCTTTTTAAGTTTTAACCCGTAATAAAAAAAGGCAATCTCATCAGGAAAGAAAACTGCTTTCACTTTTAAAAACTTAAAAAAGAAAACACATGAAAAACAATCACGATCCACTTATTTGTCTTATCATGAACTAAGCCGCACATAAAGAGTAATAGCCATCATAAAAAGACATTGGATTGTGTTAATCAAAATTTATACTGATAATAGATTATTGATTAAGTAGATCTCAATTAACGAAAAATGGCGGGTTACTCACGTGTATATATTGAGAAAAGCTCTACTAGTTTCGAACCACAGGGGGTTCTTCCTCATGAGCAGCGTGCGCGGACGCGGCGACGTCGCGCAACCTACTATCAAATGACTAGTAGATCTCCTTCAATATGTAAGATATTGGCCAATCATACTTATTATCTGTTTACCGGAACTATTTACTTTTTTTTAAATAATTTCATTCATACAGCTTTAACAATGGGTATCTCGCCAAACTAATTCGTTTGATGGCGAGAGGCGCTCTCTTAAATTATAATTAGACGTTATGGAGTTCTATATTTCACAGAGTATGTATACTGTTAATATACATATTACAATATAACTACTGTTAGTAAATTGGTTTCAAATTTTATATCATCACTTCATAGTATATATGTACAACAAAGTCGCTTTCTCTGTCCCTATATCCCTATGTATGCTTAAATCTTTAAAGCTACGCAATTGATTATCATGCGGCTTTTTTTTGAAGAGGAATGTTTATTAATGTGTAATAATATCCATTAAATAGTGGCGAAATTTTATATCACTATTGCATCCGAGCGAAGTCGGGGTGGGTCGCTAGTCTATACTTCAATACTAATTTATTATAAAGCTGAACAGTTCGTTTGTTTGAACGCGAACTCCGGAACTACTGGTCCGAAATCAACAGTTCTTTTTTATTATTTATTTTGTATGGGCAAACATTTGGCCGCTATCACAGCTGGTGGTAAACGATAATGCGACCTACGATGCCTATTAGCAACCTATCCACTCGGGCTTGGGCTTTTTATTTCAATTAAAGTATAGCCTTTCTAGACTGTAACACAGGCTATAAAACATTACAATATATATGCTACGACCAATAGCAGCCGAGAAGCGTGTAAATCCGCGCAGCAAGGGTTAGATTTGTAACTTTGTTAGTTTGTATGTAGGAGGCAATTCTTGGAACCGCCGGTCGGATTGCTAAAATTCTTTCACTGATAGATAGCTCCAATGTTCCCGAGTGCTATAGGCTATGATTAAATGGAGCCGAGCTCCGAAACCGCGCGAGAGTAGCTAGTATTTTCATAAAAACACAACTTACTATTCCGAGCCTGCTTGCTGGGCAGCAGCGTGGCCAGTTTAGCAGCATCAGCTCGCTGTAGGTTATCAAACAGCTCCTGCTCCCCCCCAGGGTACAGCTCCTGATAGAACTCACCCCCAGCTTCCTCCCATCCCTCCTGCTTTTTGGAGCGAGCCTTGTTCTTTGAGTTGCCTCCTGACATTTTTTCAGAGCATCTGAAATTATAAGAAAGTTTGTTAATCAATGAAACAATGAATTTATTTTTGCAAATAGGCCATAAAACGGCACTTATACACGTCCAAATTATGTGTAAAAAACTAGATGAAGCCGGCATTTCCTATCTGACTACTCTGAGAAGAAATGCCGAAACAAACTCAGAGGTCCGACTCTTTTCAAGTCCAAGTTCAATCACGTATAGTGTTTCATTGTATGTATATGAATGTATTTTCACTATAAATATATTGAAAAATGCTACCATTTTTTCTATATCACCCAATAAAATCAGTAGCATAAAATCTGCTTGTACACATCTTTTGTATTAATTTTAAATATGGTTGGCACAGTGGCTTGACAACTGGCTGCGGCGCAACGTGTCGCGGTTTCGATACCCGCACAGAAAAATGATCCACAAATTGTTGTTTCGAGTCAAAATGGTTTGTGTAAGTATGTGAACTTGTATGTTTGTAAACAGAGCAACAATACATGAAAAATTATAGTGTGGGTCAGAATTAAAAAAATTAGCAAATGAAGACAGTTAAAGAAGTTGAAATTAGTAGATCATAGTTCTGATATTGCTTCACATTTTTTTATCACAACCTTTTATATATTCCTACTGGATAAACATAACATGATCATAATAATTATATTTAATAAAATTCCCAACTCAATGACGACTTTTTTTGACATCAGTGTCAGCACAACAAACAGATATACATTACACACCTAATAAAAAAGACATTAGTTATTTGGGAACCTTTAATTACAGAATCAATCGTTCCGGCAACCGGCAACCGGCAACACACCTATATCTTCTTGGTATAGATGGAATGCATTTGGCACTTATTGCTTACCATCAGGCGATCTGTTTTATTGCCCACCCTTTTCCATAAACAAACATATCTATACTAATATTATAAAGAGGTAAAATTTGTAAGTTTGTATGTTTGTATGTAGGGGGATAATCTTTGAAACCGCTGATTGTATTGCGAAAATCCTACAATGTTCCTGAGTGCTATAGGCTAACATAACGCTACAATCAAATGGAGCAGTGCAGCAGGTGAAACCGCACGAGAGTAGCTAGTTTTCTATAAGTTTCTACAGACATCTTGTTACCAAGAAAGTGAAAAAGAGTGTCATAAATACATATATATATTTAATAGTTGTTAGCACAGAATTTCCTCTATAAACCAGATATTTCCTTATGCGTCAGAATTTGTAATGAAATGATTCATTGCTTAGCTACATCAAATTTAATCCTATTTGGGAAGAGAATTAATGGTTTAAAATTAAATGCCAGTATAATCTATATTTATAAGGTAATGGAAGTGTAATTATCAAATGGCTTGTGAGAAAAAGAAGAATTGTGCAATTAGAACTAATAGTTCCGGAGATAAGAACATTCAAACAAACAAGCATACAAAATAGTTACTTTGTATTATACTTTTATAGATAAAGACATATTCATAGAACATATTCCCACACCATTAAATAGTTTCTATTAATACAGACTATAAAGACCACAATCCTAATATTTCAAGGACTGTGGTGGGAAAAAATGCCTGAGAGTTTTTATTCCAGTTTTTTATTAAGTGATTTCTTGTAACAAACTCCTTTTTTGCTGGTTGTTTTAAACACAGATAGTCGAAAATACATGTAGCATGATTAAAAAAACAGGAAATACTCGTATATTTAGGTGCTAATATGGAAAAAGATTATTTTAGTATAATTTACCTGTTTTCATGTATTAGATATGTGGTACTTAGAGCAAGAATTGAAAATTATTAAAAGTCATGATTTGTAGTCTAGATTTAATTTTGGTACTGCAATATTTTGTTTTGATATAAATAGATAAAGGTATAAACAAAACAAAATAAATAATAATATTATACATAAAATTAGTACACATTTAGAAGACATTTGTTTAATTAAAATAGTTCTTAAGCCCTTCTTGACTAATGAAAGGATAAAAATTCAAAAATAGAACATGAAACAAAGCATTGATAACCTTTTCATTATACTTTTTAAATTAAGGGCAAAGGCACTAACATGACACTTACCGTATAACATAAACAATAGATTTCTATCCCACTGTTAGATTCTTAACGAGCACTTCACGGGCACCACATACTGTTCCAGATTAGTATATCACAAGCTCTGTAATTAATAAATAAATTATCGTTTCATTAATTGTTAAATGCAGGTATTCGAGACCAAAATAACACACATTCACAACGCAAGGAGTGGTAGGTACTGCATGTATGACAGTATGACGGATTTGATTGGTTTGCTGTTGTCTACGTTCCATTCGGTTCAGAAACGCTAATGTTATCTGTCAAATATGGCTCTTTAAAATAGAAATATATATACGAAAAAATTGAGTAATGTAAACAAAATATAACGTTTTTTATACTTACTAGCAACATTTGAATCTTATATAAAAATCGCTTTGCTCTCATCTTAAGTTAAAGTTACGTGATACGGAATGTTCGTTTTTAATTTCAATAATCTGTCACTCACAGAATTGCATTGATTTAAACTGTTCATTTGTTTTTATTCAATTGTTTTAATAAGTCACATAGGATTATGATAAACAGATCCAAAAAAACACAATCAGTTTCAAATAGCTAATAAAGGAGGACACTGTATTTCAACAATAAACAATGGGAGTCGTTATCGATCACTTTTATAAATGGAACGCGTCCGACGCGCTACCTAGAAAGAGAATTCAATCAAATTCTCTTGCACAGATCCTAATGATGTTCTTCTTAGGAAGCTATCAACTACGGATCCGATAAAAACACTAAATTGATATCCGCAGTCAGGAAAAACCCGACGACCACCCGCCGTTCGCGTAAACAAATTTCTGAGGAAATTTTCTTCATGCAATATCCGGTACGGTATACGATTGGAGCATTTTCGCGGCATTTCCTCGGCCAACGAATCACAGCAGGCCACCTGTAGGTACGGCCAATCGTAGCACCCTTACGTTAGCAGTGATCCTAATTTAGCCAATACAATATCCGGTGTGCGATGCGACTACATCCTGCGCGAAAAGCCCGGGAACGGTCCGGGGCGGGACAACACCTGCGCAGCATCCCTACAGACGCCGCTCCAAGATCACATCTCGCGAAAAGTAATGATTATTTCTGTCCGCGGGCGTTTAGTTCCGCATACTCCCGCGGTGGCGCTGCACACGGGAGTCCGACCGCGAATACGTACCTCGTTATATGGATTTTAAAACGTATTAACAGTATTGTAAATTGATAAATTACGTGTTAAAATATAGTAAAGTGTATTACTAACAAACCGTGCTATGTGGCTGTGTTTAAAATGGTATTAGTCGGTGTATCTGGGCGTTTCGCGACGCTGGCTCGCGCGGACGGTGTCGTCCATTAGAAACGATTTTCCAGGGGCAGCGGAGGGTGTGCGATATAATCGGAAAATTCCCAAGTGCGTTAGAATATAGTGTGCGGCCCGATGTGGTGGAAGCAGTGAGTGTTGTTGCAAGATGTGCCAGGCGGGGAGTGTATCGACCGCGCCGAGACCTCGTCTGGCTGTAGTCCAAAGCCGCGTCGTGCGCGCTCGCCCGACTCTACGCGCTTAACGAGATAATCACGGACGATTCGCACTGAACTCTGGTTTAAACTATTGTTATGAGTGTTAGCAGGCATAATGCCCGCTGTACCGACCGCTCTGTGCGGCCATATCATCTAGAAACAAAACGAGATCACTAAATGGCGCTGGGGAAGCTGCTTTCTGTGCTGGTCGTGGTAGCCATAGTCCTTGGCGACCATGAGGTCGAAAAGGAGAGTAAAGCTAAGAAAGCCATGGCGTCGGAGACGCAACAGAAGTACAGGAGTGCTAACCCAGGGAAGGAGAAGGGATCTTTTCACAAATTGACCTCGATGCTGAACAAGACGGATGAACGACGTCAGGGCCGGAGGGGGGACAAGACCTCGGTGGACAAGCTGCTGCGGCTGAACAAGAAGTACAATGATATGATGAATGACAACGAGGGGGCGATCGCCATCAACCAGAAGAACTACTCGGACAACGAGACGGTCACGCTGACTGACAAGATGAAGATCTTGAGGCCTAACGTGCCTTTGTACGAGGCGGTCAACAAGAACCCTTACGTCTCCCAAGCCACCGGGGTCTACTGCAGTTTCGAGAAGAATGGGACTGCTAACCCCGCGAGCATGTGCATGTGGCAGTGGAACTCCACGGTGTCCAGCCATGGCCTGGGGTTCAAGGTGGTGACTGCAGCAGACGTGGTGGCCATGAACCAGTCCACCAGGGGCCTGAAGTTCTCCGGCCCTACAGCGGACGCTGACGGCAATGTGGGAGGTGAGTTTAATATTTAATTTTGTATTTTTCCGCCATTTTTCTATTTTCAGAATTGTAAGGAGCTTAAACATGCAACAGCTTTTGGGGAAAAAGGCGTCGGAATTAATGTTTTTTATACGAATATCAATTGATAAACACACGAATAGACATCGTTTTGTTTGTGTATGCTTTTATTGATTTTTGTAAATAAGGTTTAATATTTTATTGACAATGTTGTTTTAAGTTCAAGATCTTAAAATCAACTAGGTAGTAAGTATTAAATAGTAAGTGCAGACTACAAATATTGTAGGTACTAGGCACTCGCTACATCATCTCAGTTAAATTCAATAATTTAAACTTTTGATACTAAAGATAGATATAACTCCAATAGCTAACTATTAAGATTAGTCAACTAATATAGCCAGCTCAAGATTTGGCTTATAAGACTACGAAGTTGTTTTAGTAAATTCAAAATAAAAATGATAATAAAATCAATAAATGATAGGCACTCAAACAATAACCTATGTACGTAGACAAAACAAAATGTCTGTTATTTTTTTCATTACAAGTACCTACCTACCAATAAAAAGGTTCAACAACGTACTTAGACAGCTTAGCAACGAGGCAAAAAATCGACATAAGTTACCTGTTTACTAGCAAAAATCAATTTACCAACTTCGTAAACAACAAAATTTAAAAGGAAAAACGATCTTAAGTGTTTGTTCTTAAGAATTATTTTAACATTGTTAAGTACCTATCTTGTATCTATGCAGGTTTTTTATGAAGAATATTGATGTGCCTACTTATAAGATATAAATAAATGGAGCCGTGATTGGGCCCATCCATGTTGTTACGATAAAAGAATTATCAGGTAGCTGTTTTCGATAAGGATTTAAACGCCCACGCTATTGTTATTTTTTCAAAGATTAAGTACGATTTTTTTAATTATCTGAAGCTCATAATCCCTCTGTGTATATAAGAAGGTATATTTTATAAATCATAGTAATTGCTCTAATACCTTTAAGCCGATTAAGTATGTATAACACTGCCTAATAATTATAATTGGTTAAAAAAATAATAGCTACATACACTTCGGTATAATCTTGTTATGATGTCCTGTAGGTAAATGCTCTCGCTTCTCATGCTTGAGATTCAAATGTGCTGATTCAATACCTGACAAGTACCAATGTATCTTTTTCTAAGTTTACATGTACCTAGGTACTTTCAAGTAGACACAACTGACAAACGGTGAAGGAAAACATCATAATGAATTCTGGATTTATAATTTCTAATTAAGAGTTTTCAAACTCATCACCGAGCGTGGTGATTATTGCTCCAACCTTCTCCGTATGAGAAGAGTGCCTCTACTCAGCTGTGGGCACTTATAGGCTGATGATATGATGGTCAAGTATATGTTCTGATGTTAAGAAAATAGTTTCCACGATTCCATTTCACTTTTGAATTAAAGGCAGAAGTGCTATTCTTTAAATGGTTAATCTCATCTAGAAATTCACACACCTTTTCGCTTCTCATCTCGCCTGTACACAAACGTCAAAATACTCACTTGTTTTAGTTCCTTTCACTTCGTTATTCACATGGTAGCGCTAATGTAGATTTCACGCCATTTGAAAATACAAAACTTTAAATAAACATTAATTCAACGCGGATTCGGAAGTGATTTCGCAAATGAACTTTTGAGAATAGCCTAACTGGTCTGCATGCTAAACTCTTTGTGAAATCCACAAATTGTTGTTCTGTGTCTGAATATGATGTATAAATGTATTTATATGTTTGTAAACGCACCCACGACACAGGAGCAAATCCTAGGGTGGAGTAAGGTTTCGAAAAAAAAAAAATGACAGTCGCCCGAATAACTCTTTGATCGTTGTCAACAGCTCAGATCATTTCTATAAGGCACTTGATGCATAAGGTACTTGCTAACTACTTGATGTAAGTAGGTCTTTCTCTTTTTTCTGTCATAGGTCTAGCTTCTCAGTCCAGTGTTGTGCTTTGATACTCATTAAAAATAGGTTTCTACTTAATATATTGTTACTTAGGTATTGTTTTATGGTAAAGGAGAATATCGTGAGGAATCATGGACTTATGGTGTCTGACTTTAAGCTTAAAATCGCCAATCCTGGTTCAACCCTGGACTAATTTATGCTCAAACCTTCTCCGTGTGGGAAGTGGCCTTTGGTCTATGGTCAACATTAAGCACTTACGAGCAGAAGATGATGATGAAATGAAATTATTAAACTATTACCAACAATTAGAAAACAATAAACAAGATTTGAAACTTAAAAATAAACTTAATTCAATAACAAATCTTCAAAGAATAATTTAAAAAATAGTTTAGGTCTAATACTTACCTACCTTACTCTATGAAAGTTAAAAGAATAAAATTCATTATTAATAGGCACAGGTTCTGGCCTTTGCGAAAATTTAGGTACCTAATTAGGTATTTTGAAACGTGTGTTGTATTTTAAAACCAGACCTAAACAACAAGCCTTCCACTCCCTCATCCCTTCCTTATCCCTTCCTTATCCCTTCCTTATCCCTAAATCTCCAAAAAGCTGGCTACTCTCTACTACTACTAGGTACTCGTGTTGCGATAGTCGCCGATTGCTTACCATCAAGGGCTCAGCGGCATGGCACGTCCTATGCTTAAAAAAAAACAACAAATCATCAAACACCGTAAAAATCTGTCCAGTCGTTTTCGAGATCTATTAACACATACCTACATACATAAACGTTGAACTGACACGAAATTGTTTCACACAAGAACATAATTTACTTCCCATATTATTCGTATACCCGCCCACGATAACTGAACTGCGGGTATTTAAATTGTCAAACTCCATAGCAAAATCATGTTTATTTATAATTGGATTAATAGCCTTTAGGGTGTTCGCTGCAAAGGTCACAGGTTCGAGTTTGTGTCAGCGCACTATTGTTCCTCCTACGTGGATTTGCGGAGCTGAAATTATTATATTACGGGCTATTTGCGTTGAGTCAGGATTTGATATATGTATTGTCGTGTATATAGGTGCATTTAATACCTACCTTATGTAATATTTGTGATATAAATAGAAGGATTTGGCAGAGAGGAACAAAGGTAGAATATACCGTGGCGCCAGTGCGGAGTAGGAGAAGAAACGGGGGGTTTTTAGTCTGTAAGAGTCTGACACTCCCTCTGGCCTTAGCAGGAGAAGTCATTTGATGATTTCCTACTCTCAAAAAGCGGTAAATCTACATTTTTCACAGCCAAATATTTGAATACAGCCAAATATATAATTAACGCCGTGAAAACTAGTCGCTTGATTAATTGACTAAATTTATCATTCAGACTGTAAGTTTTGCATTGTCATAATTTCTTTTATCATTGTCTAGTATTTGCTAGTTAGCATTATTTAAGTGAAATGTCGTGGTGGCCTGGAGGTTAAGCAGCCCGCTTCTCATGCATGAGGGTGTGGTTCGGTTCTAAACCTGGCAAGTACCAATGTGACTTTTTCCGAGTTATATGTACTTTCTATGATTATTTAGACACCACTGCCATACGGTGAAGGTAGACATCGTGAGGAAACCTGGACTTATAATTTCTAATTATAAGTTTGAAATCGCCAACCCGCATTGAGCGAGTGTGGTGGTTAATGCTCTAACCTTCTCCGTGTGAGAAGAGGCCTTTGCTCAGCAGTGGGCACTTATAGGCTGATGATGATGATGATGATGAGCAGAAAGGAACATAGGAGCAGGAGAAGGAACGGGGTAGTAATGCAAGCGCATGCAGTCACAATACAAGCACAAATAATGAAATGCATTATTTTCACTAAAATCTACACTAAACACTGAGCTGTTTCTTAATTTTAATCGTGAACCATTATGCTCTGTAAATCCCTTTTTTATTTTATAACTAGCGGCCCGCCGCCTCTTCGCACGGGTCCAACGATCTCGCTATCAAAGGGTCACTTTTTCCTAATCTTACCCTCTACTTTTCTAATATTTTCTTTGATAACAACCTTCTCCTGACAATAATAAACACAACAAAAAAAGAATTAGCAAAATTGGTCCAGGCGTTGTTGAGTTATGCGCTTACTAACACATTTCGCGATTCATTCTTATATTATAAGATAAAGATTTTTGTTTACATTAATGAGACTTGATCACACTACATAATGACATCTCTATATTATGTAACCCTTATAAACTATATTGAGTATTCATAGAGAAGGAAATGGTTTGTATAAATTATAATGGTTTGTTTTGTAGTATTCATTTAGTTACTTTCTCATATAACTTGATTTTCACTATTCCTAACGAAACATATTGTTAAATACTTAATTGCACGACAAATTCATTAACATTAGGTGGGTATTATTTTATATTTTTCTAAAACAAATAATTTCAATAGAATGTGATATATGCCATAAAAATACACACTTTAGAAAAAAACAATTTCGTGAAAAAATTTCAATTTTTTTTAAATTTCTTACTTTTGTTTTAAGTCACACATATAGGTATGTTGCATTTCTTATTGTATTAAATTTATAGAAAAGTATTGAATCTGACTAGTTGGAAACTGCAGTATCATAATAACTTTCTCTACATACATCAGTCTATCTTTCATAGACCGGTATCCATAGCCACAGAGTCTACAAAACAATCTCAAAATAGACTACATGCATCATTCATCTGTCCCTACAGTTATAATTTTAAATATATCTTGCGTTTATTACATTCTGAGTCCGTGCCTGTACCGTTAATACTAGATTTAAAATTTGATCACCATAATAATCTGTACGGATATATGCATATTATAGGTAATATATTTCTAAACAATGCCATATTTGTTTTTCGTATCATCACTAGGTAAGTACATAGTACAAAACAAAGTCACTTTTTTTTTTCTTATGTAATAGGTCGGCAAACGAGCAGATGGATTACCTGATGGTAAGCAATCAGCGCCGCCCATGGACATACCCGCAACGGAGGGGTTACGAGTGCGTTGCCGACCGTTTAGGGATTAGGGATTTAAAGATTTAGGGATTGAGGAGGGATTGGGGGAGGGGAAGGATTGGGCCTCCGGTAACCTCACTCACACGGCGAAACACAACGCTGTGATTGTTTCACGCCGGTTTTCTGTGTGGCCTTGGTAACAATCCGGTCGAGCCGACCCATTCGTGCCGAAGCATAGCCATGCTTCCCACACTTAAACATTAAACACTTTCATCTTAAAACAACGCAACAAATTTTGATGCGATTTTTTAATAGATAGAGTGATTGAAGAGGAACGTTTATATGTATAAGCAATGATATTATAAGTAAATAGGTGTAGATAGGTCATAAGCGCTCAGCAAGTGATACATTAAAATGTGGCTAACTAGCCACACTTTTTCATATTTGTCTCTTTTTCACTCGCGATTATTGAATTATGCCATCTCACTTTGACGTCTAATTATACGAATTGTTCATGTGCGCAAAAGTGTGCCGTTTTTGAAAATCGAATGTTGTTTATGTAACCTATCTACAATACCGCCAACGTATCTTGGCGAGTCTGAAGTTAGCTCATTAGCTGCGACGCAGACAAACGGCTAACTTCAGACTCGCCAAGATACGGCGGCCGTACTGTACACCATTTGACTCATTGTGAATAATAACATCCATTAGATAGTGGAGTAGTTTCGTATCAGTATTGCAGCCGTGCGAAGCCGTAGCGGGTTGCTAGTACACAACTAAACATGTCAACATTAACATAATAAGAATCTACAAATGTTGCCAGTTACCAAAACAACAATTTGTGAACTATAAAAAAAGTATGTGTGTGCTTAATTGACACGTTGCTTAGCAGCCAGTTGCGCATTCACTGCGTTAATTTTCGCAGTCCTATCCCAGATTGACCTGATCTGACCTCACACAATAATGGTACAAAAATAAAAGACCAGGTATAAGTTATTTAGATTATATTCAGAGTGATTTTCTTTATTATTAAAAAACGCTGCCCCACACTAGGATTTTCTCCTGTGTCGTGGGTGCGTTTACAAACATACACATCACACCCAGACCCGGAACTACAATTTGTGTATCACACAAAGAGTTGTTAATTGCGGGAATCGAACCCGCGTCACGTTGCACGGCAGCCAGTTGACCAGCCACCGCACCAACCGTGCCGTCAACGTTGATTAAAACGTTTAAAAAAATCTCTAAGTTTGTTCCGATTCATACACATAAATCAGTCAGATAAATTTTATAAGAACGCCTAAACAAAATTTGATTAAAATCAAAATATGTATGTGTGTCTGTTTACACCACTAACTAACTACATACATTTTAAAATATTAACAAAATATTTAATAAACATATCAATCAATTTCAAAATATGTATTAACATTAAAATAAAAATAGAAGTTAACTGATGGATGTAAATAAAAACGTATGTCTGAATGTTTATAAACGCATAACTCCGAGACGACTGTGCCGAATTAGATTGAGTATCACTTCTTATTTGATTCCCTGATGACAGCAAAGTTTGTGTACAAGACAAGCTTGTGCTAGTTGAGCACTCTAATCGGAAATTAAAATTTTTATTCAAAAGTGAAATACCAAAATATTTTTATTTCTACAACTAATTACACTTTTAAAACCATTACACAACACAATGCATATGTATATTTATTTTTTACTAAGTATAACTACCTAATAATATTTAACAATACCTACCTACTATTGCACAAATTCTTTTAAATATGGGAGCGCCATGCTTCGGCACAAATGCGTCGGCTCGACCGGAGTGACACCACGGCCTCACAGAAAACCGGCGTGAAACAACCACAGCGTTGTGTTTCGCCGTGTGAGTGAGGTCACCGGAGGCCCAATACTTCCCTTCCCCAATCCCTAAATCTCCAAATCCCTAATCCTCTAACGCTCGTAACTCCTTCGTTGCGGGTGTCCATGTGCGGCGCTGATTGCTTACCAAGAGGTAATCCGTTTGTTCGTTTACCGACTTATTACATAAAAAAATGCAAATTCACAAAATAAAGCAAGAAAACCATACCTACAAAGACTTTTCTCTAAATTAAAGAACTTAAGCTTTATAATGTTATAACGACACCGATCTCTGTCTCGCTATCTTGAAAACAGATATACGAGCTTAGACTGCACTT